CAAGAATTATTTTATTTCAATTTTTGTTCCTACGTACAAATTTTTGACTTCAGATGAGTTTTAGCAAATGCCTGTTGTAAGTCACCCGTTAAGCAAAATGCTGCCCAATTGCTTATATTACCTATGTATATAATTAAATACTATTAACGTCACATCATAAAAATTAGATGTTTATATTTAACGATTTTATGGTTTAAAATTTGTATGGGAATGGTTATCTGCTGCGGGATTTAAATATTTAATGGCTAGAAGAATCAACAGTGACTGTCTAGAAAAATTTGTTGGGTCCATTAGGCAACAGGGTGGGAATTTAATTAATCCAACACCTGTACAATTCGAAAGGGCATTTAAAAAACGTTTTTGTCAAAATTATCTTCATTGCAATTCCATGAATTGTAATGAAGACCTGGACAAGCACTTGCTACAATTAGATGTAAAAAATATTGTCTCTCTGTATCCTGAAATAAATAAAAACACTCAAGAAGCTGTTTTTCTTCCTAATTACAGCTACAGAACAAGATATAATAATTCAAAATCCATTTAAATATGTTTGTGGCTATTTGATCAAAAAAGCTTTAGGCATACATGGATGTGATACATTTATTAAATTTTCAAAAGAATGTGAAGATTTGGATAGTTCACAGATTTTAACATATGATTGCAAATAAAGCACTTATGGAGGCCTAAAAACTCCAAATGAAAAGTTTATTATCTATATATTTAAATTATAAAAAAATGTTATATCTATTTTTAGCAATACCTGTGTAATGTCTGGTATATCCCATAGCTTTTTTTGATATTATGAAAGAAATAGAATTTAATCATCCTTGTCCTAATTTCCCTAACGTATATATCATACAACTGTTTATAAGATTATATATATTATTGTTTAAGTGCTTAAATATTGTATAAATGAAACAAATCAAAAATTAAAAAACAGTTAAAATAACACCATAAAATACATTTTTTTGTTTTCTTTTTGCTACTTTACAAGAAATACATATATATTTTGATTAGATGTAGTCAATCAGAACATTTTTAATCAATGGACATAGTGAATCAAAGAACATCTAATTCATTATAATAATTTGGAGGTAGGATTTTTGATTAAGAATGTCCAAAGGTTGCACATGGTACGCTTTCAAAAATGTCTCGTTCATGTTCAATGATAGTCTCAACAGAGGAAGCACTTGGTCGATGTACTAGGGAGAAGATAGACATTTGGCTGATGACCTAGATGGATAAAAAATGTGGGAACAGCAGTAGGCAATAAACGTTTACGGTTCAACGTTTTAGAAAAAAAATTCTTCTCAAAATGTTTCTCACACAACCTGTAATTCCGATGAAGACTGTTCACATCTATGTTACTCAAATCTTCCCTATTACAAGCTCTTAACCACATGTTGGCCCTAAAATATAAAAAAGTTGATAACAAATGTTTAGATTGACGGTAGTTCAGAAATTATATATTTTTTACATTATTTCTGTTGAAATTGTAAAAATTGTCCTCAAGACATTTAAATAATAAATATTTGGTTGTCAAATAAATATTTGGTTTTCAAATATAAAAATTGAAAGTATTTTCTCAAGACACCTTTATGGCTCCATGGGAAATGCAAAAAACTTGTCCCTTTGTCTGTTTACTCTGTTTGAGATGGACAAGGGCGATAGACACATCTCTTTTTTTTCTGATCAGGTGCAGAAGCCATTTCAAAAATATCACACAATAAATGAAAAACTAAAATAATAAAAATGTCTCAAAATATACACTGCAAACAAACAAAAATAATGTCATATTTACATCGCATTGACACTATTGACGTTGACGTTTTTGTCGCTTATTTTCGGACATGCGCAGAAAAATATGGACACCTCATAAAAAATGATCTGTCGCTACTGTATTATTCTTTATACTGGGGTACCTCCATGTCCATTCCTTAGAACATATATAGTCAGGAAGGAGCATGGCCATGTTCGTGTTAATCTAATCGATCTGACGGAAGTTGTACTAAGAATGACTCATCATATGATAAATCTTTTCTAAAATTGGTTTATAATTTATGGGTGAGATTGCAGAACATCTGCGAATATGGCGGCAACTTTGCAGGTCTGCAAATATGGCGGACTTACAGATGCAAGTATCCAAAAATATCTGCAATATCGCAATATTTATTACCCCTAACATCACTAAATCCAAATCCACCCTTAAGAAGGTTAGAACATCCTACAACCATGTTTCTTTTGATTGAATACAGTTCATGGTGTCAGATTATCGAGTTTTTAAACATAGTAATGGATTTGGGTTTAGTGTTGTTGGGGGTAATAAACCACATTAAATATTGCGAATTTAAAAATCTTTTTTGGATTACGAAAACTTCATACATGCATATGTAAGTCTGCCATATTTGCAGATCTGCAAAGTTGCAGACGTTCTGTAATCTCACCCTTAGTTATTAAAATTTATTAATAATTTGGATGTTTTATGTGTTAATTTAAACTTTTCTCAAGCGTATGTTTTGTAGACATTTTTAAAAAGTGTTTAGTGTTTTAGTATTTATTTAGTATTACTGTTAATTTTAAATTTTCCGCTTTAAAAGACAAACAAGACAATATGCTCAGTTGTTCGTCTTGTAGATATAGCAGCACTGCTAAAAGTAGAAAGGAATAATCTACATTTCATAAGCAAGTATTTTGTTCTCTCAATTTTCAACCACATTGAAGAATTTAAATATTTTTAATGTTTTAAATTTGTAAACAAACATGGTAAGTGCGTCTGCGATTAACTGTGCTCATAGACGTAGTCTCATGGTTTATAGGGTATACATACTTTTATTTAAACAATTCTTTTATGCAATTTGAAGATATTTATGTGGTTGTTAAAATGAATAAATTATTGTTCACTTTAGATTTATAAATTGATTGCAAGTAAACAATTTTCAGATTTTTTAAAGATTCTAGATTTACAAATTATATAAATTAGTCCCACGTAGACAATTTTCAGATTTCCTAAAGATTCTCAAAAAACAAAGTTATGGCTTGAGTTCATGCAACAAACAAATTGTGAGCCAAAATATCTTAATTTTTTGTGTTCACGCCATTTTAAAGCAAATTGTTTTGATCGAACCTGAAAACCAAGAATTAAGACTTCTACCAACAGCTTTTCCAACAATAAAAGTGGTCCGGTTGAAGTATATAAGTAAATAAATTCTTTAGTTACTATATCGTGCCGTTTTTTCGTATAATAGAAGTTTATTGTATGAATGTGATGCACCCTATATAATTTATTACAAAGTTATTTACAAAAACAAACACAAATAGAATTAATAATATCTCAAGTAAGGAAATAAGTAGCATATCGCATGCCTCAAGATACCGTCTTAGGTCCTATCTTGTTTAATTTTATTTTAAATAATTTGTCGTTTAAATACAGATGGAAATATTGTAAGTTTTTCAGACGACACAGTTATTCTGTAAAATGCAGAGAACTGGAATTGATTAAAATTATTAATAGAAACAGATATAAAAATTTTCGAATGGTTTAATTATAGAAACTTACAAATCTTTAATAAAACTTATGTTGTTCCATTATACAGTTACAAAAAGATGGCCTCTTCCTATAGAAACAATAAAAGGTAACGTTCAGTAGTTTCATATAAGTATTACAAATTATATCAAATACCTTAGAGTACAAATTGACTCTATTCATAACTGGACTATGCATACAAGTAATGCGTTGAATGTACATTTAAAAATAATCTATTTGGCACTCATAGAATCATTACGTTATAGGACCCTTTCTTGGAAAGGTGTTTTACCTGCTTGTGAAGAATTGTCCTGCAAAAAATATTACTAATAATATTATGTAATAAAATGATCAGAAATTCTCTTCGATATTAAGGCTGTATGTCACAATACTAAATTAAGTACTAAATTTAGAACTAAATTAATGCATTTTGTAAGTACTAAACAAATTCACGTTGCAAACAGCAAATTTAGTACTAAATTTAGTACTAAAAAAAGTCATTAATTGATCTTGTTCTATTTTCTACTAAATTTAGTACTAAAAGTGCGCCGAAATGTTGCGCAGAAGTTTTTCATAGAAAAAGTTGACACAACGGTATTTTCTGCACCCTTTTATTTTTAACTAGCGACAATTTTACATTATCGCCTTGAATAAAGTTCGCTTGTTTGATTTTGTAGGTTTTATTGTGTTTTTTTCGTGGTTTTTATGCTGTATTTGGTTGTTGTCAAGTCAACTAGTATCAAATTGATAATAAAAACACCATTTACTTCACTTGTCTGTTTTACACAGCATATCTCATTTCCCTGCTAATTTCACGTATTAATATGTCAATGCGCGTGCGCCTATAGTAAATTTAGTACTAAAAATTGGTATCGTTGCAAACGGAAAAAAAATATTTTTAGTTCTAAATTTAGTACTAAATTAATAACTTAATTTAGTGATAAATTTAGTACTTAATTTAGTATCGTGACATACAGCCTTTAGGAAGTTTTATATGTACTCCAACAAAAACATCTAAGAAATATCACAGAGCGGTGTTGACCTAAATATAAGTATAGGATATTTAATTTTTTTTAACGCATATCTACAAAACATATTTATTTTTCAAACCTTAATAATTTGTAAAATGTAGATTAATAAATACATTGTCATAATAAAGACGTAAAAAATCAATATTTTTTTTAATACATTATTGCTTTGATTTTTCAAATGAAATCCGTCTATAAATTATCCCAAAAATATTTTCCTTTATTTATCCCACCCAACATGCAATTTTATAGTAAAATTTATTCACACAATGAAGGTTAATAAAAAAATGCAAACTTCATAATAATATGCAAATGATAATTTATTTTCTTTTCTACGCCCCTTTATGACAGTACGTCACTGGTAGACCGGAAACACTTGTCGCCATATTCGTCTAGTTCACTGTCAAAATTTGATACCATCGCGATTCCAAGGTCGTTTAGGATTCCTCCTTCCTGACTATATATATTCTAAGATCCATTCAGGTAATTTCCTTCCTACATGTTTCAGACCATACACAAAGAGAAGAAAGAAATTTTTGATAATTCAAACATAACCTAATATGTGCAGCATGTACAAATATCAACAAATATTTTAACTTTTTTTTATTTAACAGTTAACATGGGAAGCAAAGGAAAACTAAAAGAAGCGTAAGTAACTTAAATCTTAACAATTCTCCCATATTCAATTAATTTTTTAACAGGTTTGAAGTTGAATCAAAGCATGGTGCCTTCTATACTGGCGGAAATCTAGAGTGGATAGAGAATATTCTGTATTGTCAGACTAATTCAAGTATTAATTTATTAAACATAGACACAGGTTTAATTGATAAGTCAATTGGAGAAGAAAATACGGAAGAGAATGACGACATACAAACATTTACAACAAATGGGCAGAAAATTGTAAGTTCCCATAAAAGTGGACTATTAAAACTATGGAATGAAAAAGGAGAGTTAGAAAAAATGTGGAAATATATACATAAAGGTCCTATTGCTAAATTATCTATAAATAATGAAAAGTTAGCTAGTGGGGGCTGTGATGGTATTGTAAGATTATGGGACTTAGAAAATCACGTTTGCTTACTTAGTTTAAAAGGTTGTCAAGGTGTCGTTAATATTGTTGAGTTCCATCCAGACCAAAATCTCTTATTTGCTTCAGGAGATGATGGAAAAATCAATTGTTATGAGTTATCAAAAGGAAATTTAAATTATATCTATTCAGGGCATTATAGTAAAGTTACAGGATTTGTATTTTCTCACACTTCACATTTTGTAACATGTGGCAGGGATAAAGTGATTATATTGTGGGAATTTGAAAAAATAGAACCATTAAAAATAATTCCTCAGTACAGTGCTGTAGAAAGTATAGTAGGTTTACCTCTCAAATTTAAACTTCCTGGGTTTAAGTCAGAGGCAGAAGGGATATATGTGGCCTCAGCTGGAGAAAATGGAATGGTTCAAATTTGGGATATTAAAAAAGCTAAACAAGTTTACATCCAAGAAAATTCTTTAGTAAGTCAAGCTTCTGAGGAGGGTGGCTTAGCTGTAACATTACTTAGGTGTAATACTAAATCTAAATCACTAGCTGTTGTTACAGTAGACCATAATATTATCATCCATCATTTAAAATCATTTGTCTGTTTAAAACAATTTCCTGGTTTCTCTGATGAGATCCTGGATATTGTCTTTGTAGGAAAAGATGATTCACATTTAGCAGTAGCCACTAATTCTAAAGATATCAAACTATATGACAATTGTTCTATGAATTGTAATATTTTACGAGGACACACAGACATAGTTCTTTCCTTAGCTACAACTTTAGCTGATCCAATTTTAATGCTATCTTCTGGAAAAGATAATACTGTAAGATTATGGAACATTGACAGTATGACTTGTATTGCTGTGGGTTTGAGACATACAGGATCTGTAGGATCAGTTGCTTTTAGCCAAACTGACTGCAGCTTTGGAGTATCTGTTAGTCAAGACATGTGTCTGAAAATATGGGAAATCCCTAAAACAGTAAAAATATCAAGTGATTTAAATTGTGTTCAAACAGTTCTAGCCCATCAAAAAGATATAAATTGTGTAGCAGTGTCACCTAATGATAAAATAATAGCTACAGCTTCACAGGATAAAACAGCTAAACTTTGGAGCACTACCCTGGAATTAATTGGTACTTTGAAAGGTCATAAAAAGTCCCTTTGGTGCATTCAATTTTCACCAGTAGATCAAGTAGTTCTTACTTCATCTTCTGATTCTACAATTAAGATGTGGTCTATAGCTGATTTAAGTTGTCTCAAGACTTTTGAAGGTCATGATGCTAGTGTTTTAAAAGTACATTTTCTTTCCGCTGGTATGCAAATTCTAAGTGCAGGCAGTGATGGATTGCTAAAACTATTTTCTGTGAAAACTTCTGAATGTACTCACACTTTAGAACAACATGAATCACAAGTTTGGGCTGTAGCTATCAAACGGGATGAATCCGGCATTGTAACAGGAGGCAATGACTCTATTTTGATAAAGTGGAAAGATGTGACAGAAGAAATTAAACTCAAAAAAATGCAAGAAGCAGAAGAATTGGTTCTTCAAGAGCAAAAATTAAATAATTATTTAATGGATGGAAAATATTTGAAGGCCTTAAAAGAGGCTTTAAAATTGAACAAGCCATTCCAAGTTTTAAAAATAATACAAATAATTATAAAAAAGGGTGACACTGGTTTAGCAGACACTATTAAGGGCTTAAGGAATGATCAAAAAGACAATTTACTTAAAACAGCAATTACTTGGAATATGAATAGCAAACATTCTCATCCTGCACAACTTGTAATTAATATTTTATTAAATGAAATGCAATGCGAGAATTTTGTACCTTCTGGACTTAGTTCGACACTTGAAGGAGCTCTTCCCTACACAGAGAGGCATCTGAGAAGATTAACACAATTAATGCAAGATTTGCAGTTTATTAATTATGTTGTTAAATGTATGAAACCACATTCTGAAGTACTATAATAATTGTATTTTTGTGAGTAAACAATTGTTTTTTAATGGAGTTTTATTTTATGGTCAAATTAAGGCATTGAAGATAAATTAGAAAAGGTTATATATTGTGTTTTTTTTTTTCACTCAACACTAGACACAGAAATATAATAGGCCCAGTTAATTTACAGTTTTAAGAATACAAAATTGTCATGTATTAATCAAGGGTAATATACCAAGACAATGTGATAATAGTCAGCTATTTTTGTTGAATCTAAATCTCGAAAATATTTTAATATTAATTTGATGAGACATAATTTTTGGCATTAATAATCAATTGATTAAATTGACTTTCTTATTTGAAAAAGTCGTTTTTTTTTTCAAGGATTTTTACGTAGTCGTAGGAAAAATAGTGTACACAACTCATTGGAAAGTGTATTTCTCGCACACTTAAACTCGTACGAAATGTTACACTTTCCACACTCGTTTTGTAATATACTATTGTCAATAGACAAAACCTTTTTCAGCTAGTAATTGGGTCCTATGATTGAACGTTTACGTTAAGTTTAACACGAATCGGTTATGTTATGCTAACAGGGAACAGATAACGTATGAAATAACAGTAGGTGTCATATCCGTATGATTGAAGTAGTCGATAACAGAAGATGTTGAGCTGGCTGTTATGAATGGAAGAAAGTATTTATTTGCGCTATTGCGCGTGCGCACAAAATGTACCTAACTTCACTTCATTTCTAAAAATGACTAAAATGAGGTTTTTCATGTTTTTCTGAATGAAAAAAAAAACAACAATTAGGTTAGAATTTTTTGTAGTTCATTTTTCAGTTTTATTTAATTTTTTATGGCGAAAAGATTAGCTAAAACAACTGTGTAATAGTATGAGGAACTACATAATTTTGTTAGAAAAAACAAAATTATTCTCACGGGGAAAACAAATATATTAGATAAAAAAAAATCAAACCTTTGGCTAGTATTTACAAATCATATAATTTAAAAACAAATTCAAATATACTAAGAATTCAGATAATTAGCAATATAGGTATTAGATAATTAAATAATAAACAAATAAAGTGGTAACATAGACGTTGGACACTTAACGGCATGTTATTCGAGGCTGTTGAGGCGATACGTTAAATTAGAACATAACAGGTGGAAAATAACAGTAACGTGTTATGAAAAACTTTACATCATACGAATTTGTCTCGTTGCTGTTAAAACTCGGCCTAACATGTACGTTACGGATAACGTAAACGTTCAATCATAGGACCCATTGGGTCCTATGATTGAACGTTTATGTTATCCGTAACGTACATGTTAGGCTCAGTTTTAACAGTAATTAGGCAAGTTCGTATGATGAAAAACGGTTTTCAACACGTTACTGTTATTTTCCGCCTGTTATCTTCTAATTTAACAGTTTTCCATCATCCGAACTTGCCTCGTTACTTTTAAAATTCGGCATAACATGTACGTTACGGATAACGTAAACGTTCAATCATAGGACCCATAGTGTTAGAAAAAGTTTTTCATCATACGAACTCGGCCTTACACATAGAGGGTGCTATGATTGAACGTTTACGTTATCCATAACGTATATGTTAGACCGAATTTTAAAAGTAAAGAGGCAAGTTCGTATGATGGAAACCTGTTAAATTAGAACATAACAGGCGAAAAATAACAGTAATGTGTTGGAAAAAGTTTTCCATCGTATACGAACTTGCCGTGTTACTGTTAAAACTCGGCCTAACATGTACGTTACGGATAACGTAAACGTTCAATCATACGACCCAAATTAATTTATCTATGGCCTATAGAGGTGGGAAGTTCGAATCCTTTTACTGAATTAATTCATTTGATTCATTCACCTAAAAAGATTCGTTCTTCAAGATTCGTTCTCAAGTGATTCACTTTAGCGAACCACGAACGATGTTATTCCGCCGATCCGGCGAAGGAAATCGAACCGAACTTTTACGAATTTGAGTACTACCTAACCTACCTACCTACTAGGTCGTTGAGTAAAATAATTATAACCAGATTTATTTTAAAGTAAAGCGAATTAATGTTTCATATTTCATAAAAAAAAGGCAGCTGAATAATAAATACATCCTTGTCCGTTAAGATAAACAACAATAACACAATTTTTTTTAAATGCCAAATATATAGCCAAAATTAACGCAAAATTATATATTCACGATTCGTCATTTTTTGTTTTAATTTTACTTTGATTTAAATTTATTTATCAGACAACACGCATAAATTGTTTACCTAGGGTCTATTTATACTCCCTTATTATTAGTATTTGCATTAGTATTATGATTAAGCATTAAGTTGAACCTTCACAATGTAATGGGGACATTTATACTCGATTTATGATTAGTATTAGCATTAATATTTATGCTTAATAATTGACAGATTCAACTTTTAAATTAAATATTAAATTTCTTCTTTTCTATAAAATGAATCAATAGCGTATTTGGCCTTTGTTTTTAATAGACAACGGATAAGGATAATTGACAATACACACATGATTATGTTGTTTATATGTTTGTCCAACAAGCTCGAAAACGATATTTCGGTACAAATCATGCTATGTATATATGTATGTATGTGTATCAGCAGTGTTTACCGATTATAAAGTTGACAAATGACATGTCACCACGAGGAAGCAAAGGCCTCTTTTCTGTCTGATTTGTATCATATTTCTGCTTCTTTTTATCTGTTATAAATTTGAGACTTAAATCCGTTAAAATGTCCTTAATTAAACCTATTTTTGAATATTAATATTTTTAAATAAAATTAACTAGTAAAACTATTAATAAAAACACATTTAAAACTCAAATATCTTAAAAGAACACAACCGGCCTCTTACACATTTCTTCAGTAACCATATATTTTGTTGACTGCAGAATTATATCTTATTAGGTATTAGGTTTAAAAAAGAATTACTAATACTAATTATAAAACGAGTATAAATACCTTTTTTTAATGATTTAACAAATTTAATGCTTAATCATAATACTAATACAAATACTAATACTAAGGGAGTATAAATAGACCCCTAAGCTTAATACACACCTCCTGTAAAGCTTTTTAGTTTTTCTATGCTGTAAAGTGAGAAAAACATTAAAGACACATACCGCCACCGCCTGTCAGTTAGAGTTCTCGTATTATGCCGTAGAACGTAGAACAAAAGCGACCAATTTGCCGATGCCGATGTAAAATACCAAATACCGAATCCGAATCGAATGAACGAAGCAACCAAACTCGGAACTCGGCGTGTTTGATCGATCGCAGAGCCCCAGTATAAAGAATAATATATATTGTTCTTTATACTGAGGCAGAGCCATCGAGCAATTGACTCAAAAAAGATTCGAATCTTTTAAAAACAGGGAATCAATTCATTCGAGTCAGTGCACTGATTCGTTCTTTTTGAACGAATCGTTCGCGAACGACACACCTCTAATGGCCTAACATGTACGTTATTCGTAACGTACATGTTAGGCCGAGTTTTAACAGTAATAAGGCGAGTTCGTATGATGGAAAACTGTTAAATTAGAACATAACAGGCGGAAAATACCAGTAATGTGTTGAAAAAAATTTTTCATAATACGAATTTGCCTCATTTCTGTTAAAACTCGGCCTAACATGTACATTACGGATAACGTAAACGTTCAATCATAGCACCCAATCCGTAACGTACATGTTAGGCCAAGTTTTAACAGCAAAGAGACAAATTCGTATGATGTAAAGTCTTTCATAACACATTACTGTTATTTTCCGCCTGTTATGTTCTAATTTAACAGGTTTCCATCATACGAACTTGCCTCGTTACTTTTAAAATTCGGCCTAACATGTACGTTACGGATAACGTAAACGTTCAATCATAGGACCCAAAATTTGAGTTGCGATTTCAATTTTAACAATTTCTGCATCGACAAAGCAAAAATCTTACAAAAAAGAAGATCACCTTCATATCAAATGTCAAAGACCCAAAACTCCAAAACATAACCTAAAACCTAACTTTTATAATAGGATAGATATACTATTAAAAAAATGTTAAATATAATAAAAGTGTTACCAAAATTAAACTCAAAAACAACACAGTTACTTACAAAGGTGCCAAAATTTGCAAATTACAGAAATGTATCTACAACTGCAATAAATAAAACTGATTCACAACAAAAAATAACTTATACAACTGTGTATAAGTTTCCTTATATTAGACCGTTTTCAGTACTAAATCGATTAAAGTTTTACCAGACTGTTTTAACTGGCATAGCAGTTCCCACTTCATGTATGTTAAATCAGTTAAATTTTATCTCTACTGGGGCATTTCAAGTAATTTGTTCATTAGGTTAGTATTTACCATTGCACTTTTATATTTAAATAACTATATTTTTTTTAGGTTTATCTGGATGTTTGACTTTGTATGGATTAGGATATCTTACTATAAAATTCATAGGTTTCATTTATTATAATGAACAGAATAATCTTGTGAAAATATCATATGTAGATTTTTGGGGATGGCGAAAGGATATTGAAATCTCAGCTAAAGATGTTGTGCCAATAAATGAACTGCCAACGTCTGCTACTGATGGTCTGTTTTTAAAAATCAGGAGATACTCGACTAAAGAGATTTTAAAGCTAAACTTTCAATATGGTATTATAGTAGAAAAAGAATTAATAAAAAAAATTTTGTAATGACTATGATATAACCTCATTAAAATTCTCCTGTGTTGTCAGATATGAATGATATTTATTTATATTCTAAAATTGAGTGGTAATTATAAATTAATTTATTGCAATTTTTGAGTTTACATAGAATAATAGGGAGTGTTAGGATGTGGAATAAGAACAGAGTGTATTTATTTATTAAATGTAAAACGAACAACAAGAATATTTTTAATTACATAATATGTAAACATTACTCAAAAATGATAAGCATAATTACTACTCCAGACAACTTTATTAAACCCAATTGACAATTATATTAACTTTTTTACATGTATCATAAAACATGACAGACAGGTTTGCAACATCAAAATATAATCTGACATCCTCCCTCAAACCTGTTAATCTTCACCAAAAGAACATTTTAATCTAAAAATTTTAAATTTAACATATTCATAAAGTTACTGAACTCCTGATGACCCAAAAATATCGGCGAACTATTCGTTGGTACAAACAGGATATCATTAAAAATCCTTTGCTTATTAGGTCTACAATAAAATGAAAACTTTAATATTACACCTTCTATTATTTTCAAAGTTTTGTAGCAGTTTGATAGTGCTTTATCTTCAAATAAAGTGATTGATAATGAAATATTAATTTTTAAATCTGACAATAAGTTTTTAATGTACATCAATTCACATGAAGTGGTACAAACTGCAACAAATTCAGATTTAGTATTAGAAAATGTTACAATTGTGTGTTTCTTGGAATACCATGATATTAAATTACCAAACAGTTTAAAATACCCAACAGATTTTCTATCTATAGTTTCATTTGCCAAGTCAGCATCAATTGCTATATATTATTATCCACTTTCCAAAATGAATTTTCCACCATTTTAACATGATAAATGCATTTTCTCCAATGTTCTCCATTTACATCTGAAACTGCATTTAGAAACAAATTTCGCAAGTTTCAATAAAGCTCTTGTTTCTTCCTGGAGGTTTTTAGGAAGTGAGACTTCTCCACTAACTGTATTTTCTTTAATAATATACACTGGGTGTTTAGGTACTCCAGTATAGGTCTCACATTTAATGGCTATTTCATCAAGGGAAAGTAAAACAGTCTTTTCGAAGATTATTAAATACATTGAGGGTCCATCTTTTCATCTCTGAGTAAAGTTACATGTATGTAAGGTTTACTTGACAGATTAACAAACAATAGCCCTATAGTTTAATTAGCAAGTAGTTACTTTCAAGTTTACTCAGAAGTGAAAAGACTGGCCCTAGTACAATATTTTCTTCTTCTAAAAATAATGCTTGATGTTCACTAGGTCGTTTATGCAGAATTGTGCTAAAAATTAGTTTTGCTTATATCAGTGTGAGCTTAGAGCCACATTTTTCTACAAAGTTGTTAAAATATATTATGTTTTAACATTTACACAATAATTTTATTATTTTAAGGACCGATCTTTTCACATCTGAGAAAAGTTGCATGTAGGTTTACTTGACAGATTACCAAACAATAGCCCTATAGTTTAATCAACAAGTAGGTACTTTCAACTTTACTCACCAGGTAAAAAGATCAACCCTAAATTCGATTATTAGATTATTTTGCTGAAACATCTTACAGAAACCATGTTTCGCATCTTTACCCTACTCCTGAACGCCTGCCTCTCCTTATCCTACTTTCCACTTGCCTGGAAATCTTCCAACACCATTTTGATTCCCAAACCAGTCAAAGACTCCAAATCCATAGACTCATATTGTCCATTTCTCTCATATCAGTACCAGGTAAACTCCTTGAACTTCTGCTCAAGGAAAGAATCTGGGACTTTTGTGAAGAGCAGAACATCATTCCTCAATCCTAACGTGGAGGTATGTTGACGAGTTGACGGTTTAATGGATATATGAGATGAATAATTTAGAATTTAACTGTTCTCCTGGTTCTTGGACAGTTTGCATTAAGTTTAAGAAACCCGAACAAACCTGTTGTTTCAGGCCTCATCACACTACTCAGGAAGCAATCTCCACACTACTATGGTCACTGCAATAAACTCTCTCCAAATCTCCTCAGCTGTTCTTCTCAATGTTCAAAAAGCCTTTTATCAAATCTGGCATGCTGGACTAGTCAAAAAGCTCATGAACATAGGTCTCCCCCTCAACTCAATATCTCTATCTTTAGTCAAAGTAGGCAACCCATTGACCCCACTTGTTGGGGGTACCACAGGGCTCCGTCCTGGCCGCTCTTCTAAACCTCATACAATCACGATATTCCACCTCCAAACCACCTATCGTCAAAATGTCTTCTTTACGGCGATGATGCCGCTCTGCCCTTTGTAGCCAAAAACTCTGAACTAAGTACTGGAATCCAAAATCTACTAAACCAGTTTTCCCGCTGGTGTAAGAGATGGAGAGTCTCACTCAGTCCATAAAAAACACAATTCATCATTTTTAAACATCCTAACTCTCAGAGTCGCCCTGCTTCCGCAAAACGTGAATGTAAACCTCCTGGGAGTCAGACTCGCTAAACAGAATTATTTAGAGTGAGATTCTCTCAACTGGTCCTCTCATTTTAAACGCCCTCTCGACAAGATACGACGGCGAGCCGGTCCTCTTGGAGTTTCGTGTGGGCGATGCAACTTTAATTCACACATACAATTCATTTATCCTTTCCATTGCCGAGTACAGAGCGGTACTATATGACGTGCTTCCAGCACATCTTACCCGCAAAACTCACTACACTCGAGACGTATACTCCATCGATGCTCGAGGATCTGCTGGACTCCGCCCCTTTATGAATAAGATCCCAATCACATGATAGCAATGGCATATTACGGTATTGTGATTTAGGTTTTCGTGGTTCCCTAAATCATATTTCCAACCTTATACTATGGACTTGTCCATATTTGAGGTTGGAAATAGCAAACTTGGCGATATTTTTTGTGATCACAACCTGTCACACAGGTCCCACGCGACAAACTTTAGATTACAAAGTAATCAGGGTAAACCACCCTGAAAAGGAGAACTCTTATAACAAGGAATTATGAAAATAAAATGAGCTAGAAAAATTTACAAAATAACGAGTCATTAAAAAAAGATCATTTCAATAAATCGATTAATCAAAAATAATCGATTAATTTCAAAAAACAGATTACCAATTTTTCTAAAATTAATTGTTTTATCACTACACATATTTTTTTTTTTTAGGCTAGTAACAATTCAAACCTGTTATCTTCTTGGAATAAGTCTGAAAATGTGAGCCCTGGAATTTTCCTTTATATCCATCTAAAGCTGCTCGAGGCCTTTCACAAGCTGCATTGAAGGGTTGTAGAGCAAAACACATTAACAAAACTGCGCCCGAGTAATTTTCGGAGCCCAAAGTATTATTTTCTTTGAGGCAATTTTTAAACGAAAAATAAAAAACCAAAACGTTATTGAGCGTTTTATTCTTTTTTTATATAAAAAATTAAACTTTTTACAATATGTACTAACAGAACAGCATAAATTTCCTCCTTTTGTCAGTAGAGCCTTAGCCAACTAGTTTTTCAAAGACATTACTATCTAGTCGGCGATAAATGCTTTTACAATTTCTAAGGCCTCTAAGAAACGAGATTTTCCCAAAGAAAGTGACCAAATTTTGCTCAAAAAATGCAACATTGTTTTTAATTTGCATTCCAAAATAATATCTTAAACAAAATCTGGCGACATCGTTTGGGAACACTTTGTATAAATCGATGTAAACTATATGGCAATAACGTCATACAAATCACAGCATCAAGTCTATTGAAGTTAATTGTGACAATATAAATATTAGCACTTTAAAAATATACAAAAAAAACACACTTTTTCAAAATATCTTATTAAATAAAAATATTTCCTATATTATAAATTTGTATATGTAGAAAATCGAATATAAATTATTGTATATCAAAAAACGTATCGAATTTGAACAAAATACTTTATTTTTACATATCGCTGGTCTAATTTTAAAACCTCGAAAGTCAAAAATTTACGAAAATAATAATTAGTCCTAAGTCATTTAAATAACAATTTTGTCAAAAAAAAAAAAAAATAATATATTTCTTAGTTGTAGTTAAATTATCTTTAAAAAATCGATGCGTGTTCCGAAATTGTAAAAATGGGCAATAGTGACTTACGAGGTTTTAAAATTAGACCGACGATATATGTCAAAGTCAAATTATTTCGTCGCTGGAAAGGGGCGCAAGTTGAAAAATACCCCATTTTTTAAAATTAAGACCACCACAAATCTGTTAAAAGTGGATATCCATGATGTGACAAAGGGGCGCGTATCTCTCCTTAAAGAAAACGAGATACACTGCATATACAATACACTATACACAAAGTTTAATTGAGTCTCCTGTAAAATAGTTAAATTGAAGTTACGTCTCTTTGTCTTTCCAGCGACGAATTGATATACCGATTTTAACCTTAATTTTGACAGGTGCACGAAATAAATCATAAATATAGCATCTATTTTAATTTAATTACAAAAAACGTTGAAATTCAAACACACAATAACTAAAATTGAACATAAAAAAATATTACATTATTTCTAACAATTTTGCAAATACAAATTCTTTGACGTTGTGATAGCACAGAACGTTTTCTTTGAGCATTTTTAGTTTACCTATATAATCCCGGTGCTTTTTGGATTTGATGTTTTTGTATCGCAAAGCCCTGATGGCTTTGTCTAGGATGTAGTGTAGCCACAAGAGGTTGGTAAATGGTTCAAAGTCTTTCCAATTATTTCTGAAACAAAAAATAAATCAAATAAATAATTTAGGTATGATACTGTTAGTCCCCATAGAGTTTTGTAACAAACAGACAAATAACAGGTATTTAGGTTCTTTTTAGTATCTCTTAAGAATGAGTCAAAATATTTCTGAGCGTTTCAAGTTTCAACCACATTATTTTATAATTAATAGATGTAAATCATTGAAAATGTTCAACCAACTTGTTCTTCATTAAATAGATTCCACTTTCAGAGTGATATAAATCAGCAGCAATACTCTTTAATTTGTGCCGTTTAATAAACCCGTGAACATTTAAGTAAATAAACAGAAAAATGTTCCTAATTGTTATTGGAAATAGTGTATTCTTACCTGTTTTTATCCTGCATCAGTCGATATATATCAAACTGGTAATCCCCCTCGGCAACAAACAAATCCGGATCCATGCTCAAATCATTAAAAATAACCACACCATTGTGTTCGATTCTGGACAGGGTAAAATCAATTATGGCAACTTCGACTCCCTGGGTCGGAAGTTCGTAGTTTCGATTGTTCAAGTTAAACGAGGCAATTTTGTTGGTTTCAACGGCAGATACGAGCACGTTACCCCAATGGAGATCCCGATGTTCAAAATGGAGTTCTTCTTCGGCTACCGCCAGACCAATTGCAACCTGAAAATAATTTAAATGTCTAATATAAAAATCGATCGTTAACAATTTTCCGTTAAAACACCAACTATTTTAATTTTGTTTAATATCTACCTGCTGGAACATGGAGTATGCCTGCATAGCATTATTGAATTCAAAAGATTCCAAATCCTTTCCACCATATGCCATTTGGAAAACTATGTAAAGCTGGTCGTTCCTGAACATATCAGGACAATCATTTTCAGAATGTCTGGTTTCGTCGAACTCATCCCAAAGGAAAACTAACTTCTCTGGGTATTTCCCTTGGACGCATTGTATTTTTTGAACTTCCGTAAATGCTGGTATTCCATTTCTTTTATTGTTTCTCAAATTACTTAGCTCCCTGAAAAAAAAAAAAAAAAAAATTAAAGATAAATATTTAGGGCGTTTGAATTAAATATGTTCTTAAATGGTCTCTAAAACAATTACTTACATTGTTATAATAATTTCTGATAAAACTTCTTCAAATTTTTTTTGTCTCTCCCCGTTAACTATTAGGTCGCCCTCTACTGGTACTATTTTGATGACTGAAGTACCTCCTTTGGGATTTCTGAAGAGGAATACCTCTCCAAAGACCCCCTCGCCAATTTTTTGACAATTTGATAGAATACTGAAACAAAGAAAATACAGTTAGACCATTTCAAAAAGTAATGAAACAACTTTTCATTTTAAATCTTTTTTAAAAAGTTATTTTTACTATGAATATTGAAAATAAAAATCATTAAAATGTTCTATTTTATTAGCTACTCTTACAATATTTGAATTGTATATTACAAAATATAGTGATCCAAATGCAAAAAACTAAGCCACATTGCTAAACTACAATTTATAAACAATATGTGCCATAAAGTTGGATCCATATGGGAATTTTTTTAATATTAAGACTGGAAAAAAAAGGTCGTAGGGCAATCACATCTGCTTATTTAAAAACTTAAAGTAGCCCATCTCAAAGTTAATTTTCTGTCAATTCGCACTTAGAATAGTATAATACATTACGAGTGTGGAAAGTGGCATTTTTCACACGAGTTGAACAATTTTTAGTATTTTACAGATTGTGTTTTGTCAAAATTAAAAACATTGTGATTTCATTTAAAACCAATTTTATGGGATGATAAATAAAGATAAAAGAATATTACGTACAAAAAAATATTAGAATACAATAATGTTTTTTATTGGTTTATTGTTTTTTAAACAAATTAGATGAGCAACAGTAACAAAAACTTTTTTTTATTTACCCATTTATCTACTCAATTTTTTTCTGAACAGTAATTAAAATAGTACAAAATAAACAGCAAAAAGATTAACTGTATGAGGTAAAGTACAGAATTTGACAGATGCAGTACTTGAGGCCAACTTTAATATTGACTATTTTAGGTTTTAAAAAGCAGAGGTGAATGTCTTTTTTTTCAATCGTAATATTAAAAAAAATCCCATATGGATACAACTTTATGGAACACACTATATAGCTAAAATGTTGCAATAATACACAATTTGAGAATCGGAATCCTAATCATACTACTCGTATATTAATCTCTTATGTAAACATGGAAGCAAAATACACAGAACCCACAAAAAAAGTGAATTTTTCCATAGCCTTCTTTAAAAACATTTTTTGTATATCACTCCATTTATTATAAGTATTACAGATAAGTTGTTTAACATACATTTGCACCAGATGGGCGAAAGTTAGCTCTATACAGCTACTTTAACCCTTAACATGAACATATACAGAGTGGCCCAAAAGTCTGGAAACTGTCAATTATCTCGTAAATTGCTAGTCCTAATTGTACACAATTTGGGGGTACACCTATATTGGGATACGGTGATTCCAGATTTGATATTTGCAATGTTGCCAGATTTGCAGTTTCTCTTAAATTACTAGTCACTTTGGTTTTTAAATTCATCACCCTGTATATTCAGTCATTTTTGGAATCTCCTATTCAATACGAGTTCAACCATATGTAACACTTATGATTTTATGTAGTCTGGAAAGTCTTAAATAAATAAAATAAGTCTGGCAACGTATAATTGTCTTAATAAATTGTTTAATACAAACTATTTTCAACTACATTAAAACGTAACAATTGAAAGATTATAACATTTTTAACATAATGGTTGCTTTATCAAGGGTTCAAAATGTGCTCCATTTGTAAGTTGACAGTACCCTAATCGATGGTAGAATGCGTCTACCACATTTCTCCATGATTGTTTTATTTATTTAAGACCTTCCAGACAACATAAACTCATGAGTGTTACATATGGTTGAACTCGTATTGAATAGGAGATTCCAATAATGACTGAATATACAGGGTGATGAATTTGAAAAACCAAAGTGATTAATAATATAAGAGAAACGGCAAATCTGGCAACATTGCAAATATCAAATCTGGAATCTCCGTATCCCAAAATAGGTGTACCCCAAATTTTGTACAATTAGGATTAGCAATTTACGAGATAATTGGCCGTTTCCAGACTTTTGGGCCACTCCGTATTTAAGGGCTTTATTAATTATAACAATTTGTCAAGTTATATAAAGGGTTCTAAGACTCTAAATCAATTTAAAACTCATTTAATGGATTATTTATTTAAAAAATTGGTTATATTGTTTATTAAGCTTAATTGCACTGGTTGATATCAACTGAATCTTATAGTTTGTATTTTTTTGTATTTTATTTCTTTTCTATAGAATCTATTTTACTCATGTAAATTTAATTCTTGTATATTAGGTTTATCGTACTTTCAAATAAAGATAATTACTACTAATAGGCAACCAATATATTTCCAAAGAAGGCTATATAATTAATTTTGCTGTCATTAATATCATTTATTTAAATCCAAAAAATTGTTTCTTCTAAACTGCAGTTTAAATTAAGAACCAACATTCCTCTGTATTATAGCATTCTGTTAGTTTCATTGAATTTGTTAAATTTTCTGCATATTTAACTTGTATTTATCTTATCTTTGATGTAAAGCCAAATATAAGTAATTTATTTTTTTGCATATACAGGGTGATTCGGGAGGAGCGCACCAAACTCTAGGAGTATATTATACACGTGAAAATAATGTAAAAAAACTCATGTGCTTATCCGATTTTCATTTGTTTTCAAGTTATGGCGTAATTAAAAATGTTCATCTAGCTTTCCACTTCTGAATTTTAACATTATCAAAGTATGTCATATGTTCAAGGCTCAAGGGCATTTGATAATTCTGACGTTTTGATGAACTGTTAGTGTACAGTGAACAGTAACTGAACGTTTAATTTCGAATTTATGTGATTGTTAGTGTTGCAAAATGCCAGAATTATCAAATGCCTTTGAGCCTTGAACATATGGCATACTTTGATAATGTTAAAATTCAGAAGTGGAAAGCTAGATGAACATTTTTAATTATGCCATAACTTGAAAACAAATAAAAATCGGATAAGAACATATGAGTTTTTTTACATTATTTTCACGTGTATAATATACTCCTAGAGTTTAGTGCGCTCCTCCCAACTTACCCTGTATAATCTTGTTTTGCTATTAGAATCTATTTATTTGCATACTGAAGCTGCTTTATCTTCATAGCAATTATAATTACCAAAATAAAAATTAAAACAAAGAAATGTTCATTTGTATGACTATGTGTCACAAAATTATTTTATCTAGTTTAATTGTACCTTTTGTATCAATCAAAATAAACAATAGTAAAAGTATTTGACGTCATTTATGGAATATTTAGAAGTCGTTGGCATGCAACCCAGACAGAAAACACAAAGGAAACAAAAAAATATTATTTCCAATGGCCAACACATATTGGGCACAGTCCAATTTTTCAAATCACGTGCGTTCCTATTCAATTAACATTATTTATTGATTTACTAAAATGATAAAATATGATAAAGAGAACTATTTAATTTTGAGAATTGGACCATCACATCCTCAACACGCCTGTAACAATCAATGTGTTATCTCTAACTCCATTATCTCTTATTTGTATTATTTATTGAACATGGGTTTTGCCAATGCAAAAATGCATCGACTGTGAAGGAGAATACTTTGAAAAATTATAAATAAAATGTTGTTTTACTTTATTAGACTCAACGACGTAATACATAATGAAATATTTATTTTAAACGAGCATCCTTATGTTGAATGTTTTTACAAATATCAAGATATTACCAGAAGATTATAGTTTGAATTTAAAACCAATTAACTTCGGCAAATAATATCTATATCTAAAAGCTATATTATTAAATAGTTAACAAAGAACATTGTTAATAATCCTAGAGCCAATGTACAGATTTGTGATTTATTTTCTTATGACTGAATTTATTATTAAATTGTACTATGATACGTGTCCAACAAATTAATGAAAGCGCGATGTTCAGACTGGGGCGCTATAGGCATTACAAGTGCCTCTCAAAAACTTGACTTATTTTCTTAACATTTTCGTTATGCTCATTCGACGATAAATGCCTACCTACGAGAAATATTAAACCCTCGCACCAATTTCGCTAGGCCATTTTTTCTTTCCAACGTTTTGAAGTAGTACGCGAGTGGGCATGCACGTGACTAATTTTCTTATGGCTGATTTCGGATTTATTTTCAAGTTTTTGTTGTTTTACAAAATTCACCTCCTCCGCCAATTTCGCGGGGCCATTTTTCTCACCAACGTTTTATTGGTCAAATATAATGCGTAAGCAGGCATACACGTGACTTATTTTACAAACTCCAATAAGAATATCCGTTCGCTTTTAGTGTACACGAAAATAAAGTAAAAAAATAAATAAATAAATAATGGTTTTATATAAACGCAACAACTTGACAAAGTATTTTTTGATCAGGTTTTGAGGTTGCTGAGAAAGAATTTGCTTACAGAATTTAAAAATCCTTGCCAGCCATTTTTAAGGTCTAAATTGGATTGTTTAATATCGTAAAAAAACAATGTTAATGATATATTTTTATTGAAAAATTTCATAAAAGAAACCAATATTTTAATAAAAGATGGTAAAATTTAGCATTTATGAACCAGCACATTGAATATTACATAATGATGAAAATTTAGAGATTGGTAAATATTAAAATTCGGTTACATACCTTTTGGCAAAAACTTTGTCAAATTATTGCGGTTTTATGTTTAAACTTTTTTAAATTCATTATTTTCGTTGGAAGGTATCTTTTTTATGTTGCTTTGGTACAAGAGTTTACTTTTTGAAAATAAGTCATGAGCTTGCCCACTTACACACCACTTTAAAACGTTGGAGAGAAAACCCCACATTTAAGAAATTGATAGGTAATATATCTAACTAGGATTTAGTTTACTGTCTAAATAAAAAACCTATTACAATTAACACACAGTTAAATAATAATTTCTAGAAAATACCATTTTCAATTTATGTTCAAATATAGATATTTTTTGTTAGTCATTATGTCATTAAAATCTGATAACCTGAACGATTAGACATGTTTACTAGTTGTGAATAAACAGCTTTAGAAACAGACTCTAAATAATTATGTTAGATTGGAAAACTAAACAGTATTATAATGAATATTGAATTTTGCATAATTTATATAAAACTTTCGGCTTTATTTTTTTATTTTAATCCGATAGAAAACGTTTGAGGAATTC